AAAGTGAAAGCCTTCTGCCACTTGGCTACGCCTAGAAATTCTGTCCATACAAATTATGAACAGAATCTGTGATAAAGGGCTGCCCTGGCTGACCCACCAGGAACAAGTCCGACTTATTGCCGGCTGAACTTTGCAACGGTTGTATAGGGATCGAATGGCCCGTAGCAATGGGCCAGACACCCCATACTCCCGCAACACCTCCCACAGGACACCCCGAGGGACACGGTCGAATGCCTTCTCCAAGTCCACAAAACACATGTAGACTGGTTGGGCAAACTCCCATGCACCCTCAAGTATCCTGAGAGGATAAAGAGCTGGTCCAGTGTTCCACGACCAGGACGAAAACCGCATTGTTCCTCCTGTATCCGAGGTTTCGACTAGCAGGACAGAACTCTCCTTTCCAGCACCCTGGCATAGACTTTCCCAGGGAGGCTGAGGAGTGTGATTCCCCTGTAGTTGGAACACACCTCGGGTCCCCTTTCTTAAAGATGGGAACCACCACCCTGGTCTGCCAATCCAGGGGTACTGCCCCTGATCTCCACGCAATATTCTAGAGGTGTGTATTCCTTCCTTCCACCGCCTGACAATTTTCTCAGTCGAAGTCAGCAGCACTCCACCCGCACTATACACAGTGCAGGTAAAGCACCGCTTTCCCCTCCTGAATTGCCTGATTGTTTGCTAGAATCTCTTCGAGGCAGTCTGAAAGTCTTTTTCCATGGCCTGAGAAAGTGAGGAAACAAAAGCATTGCAGCATTGTGAACCTGTATAATCACAACAGAAGAATCCACAGATGGATTGTTTTCCATTCGGGGTGGGGACTGTGCTTTGGGGAAGTATGAATAGTATTTGCTTTTATGTGTGTGTGTGTGTGAGTGTGTGTGTGTGTGTGTGTGTGTGTGTGTGTGTGTGTGTGTGTGTGTGTGTGTGTGTGTGTGTGTGTGTGTGAGATATCGTCAGGATGTTGCTGGAGACAGATTAGTGCAGCAACAGGGGGATTGTCAGATGATGACGCGGTACAACTCAAAGACATCCTCTGCTGCAGTACTGTCACTTTCCTCTTCTTGGGGCTTATTTTGGGATTTAGTTGTAACTTGCACTGATCCAAAGGTGTGAGGTTTAAAATAATCAGAGTGCTTCTCTCTTTTTTCCTTGTGTGCTTCTCACATCATGCTTTGCATTCACACTTCCACTGTTCCACAACATGCTCACCTGCTGTTGGTCAAAATCTTGTGTAATTGGCTTAGTAGTTACTTTTTCCTGCGTGGGATGCATGTTGTGCTTTCAAGATTGGCAAGCTCTGAACAAACAGATCTCCACCTGCTTTGAGTATTCTGGTTGGTGCTTACAGATGGGCAATCAGTGACTGAAGTGGCTCTTGCAAATATTCCACATTCAGTTTTATTTGGAAGGTGCTGGCAGCCGTAATGTCACACTATAGCCTGGTAAGCCTCAATAACACAGGGGACTCGTGACTCCTTGGATTGCTGTGGTTGCCTGTAGTTTGTATAGAAGATGACAAGTTGTCTGCAAATTGCCAAATAACCACAGACAAGTAGTGAAATTTGAAAAATCTAAATCAGGAATGGAGAGCGTTCACCTTCAAAATAAAATGTGTGCCTTTCTGTTGAAACCACCACTTTTCAAAGGTGTTTTCTTTACAGATGGTTGGTCTCTGTTTCCCGTTTCACTGCTGCTTACCAAATCGTTAACAAGTGTTTGCACTTGTTGGCAACTCTCTCATAGATTACACGTGACCATACTAATCTGCTAGCAACGACAGCAATTACAATGAGGTTTTCAATACAGTGCCAAATACTTCTTTGTGACTGATTTCACCTAGTGACACCAAGCAACCTCCCTCATTCTTGACAAGCTGACAGCAGGTTGCCAGCTGGTCTCTTTGTGACGGTGGCCTTAATGTCCCCCAAAGCTGTTCTCTTCAATTCATGACAAATAAAAAAAAGCAATGTCTCGTGGTTGAGCTTGGATTTGCACAAACTATTTCCAAACTGAAATGTTGTGTTTGCTGTGATGTTTCAAAGATCAAACACTGCTACCCCAGATGACTTGGAGAAGGTTGCTCACATAATTAGTTGCTCATACATCACTCAGGTGTCTTAGTTAAATACCATTAAGCACAAAAACACAGAAAGTATCTCATTATCTATTTTTGTGATCTCTGGTTCATCTAAGTGTTTTTATTTTCCAAGGATAAAAATGGTGATGCTTACTGCTCAGTAATTGTGTGATTAATATTAAATTATATGTGATTATGAGATTTTAAACTATGATTAAAGGACGACAAAAAAAGTATAATTTATGTTGGCTTTGATAAATACAGTATTTTTCTGCAAATGATTGACTTCAATTTATCAATCTAATGCTAAATCACAACAACAGTTCTCTCAAGGTGTAAAGTAAAGACCCCACAGTAATACAAAGAAAACAAAGAAAACTCTCTAGCACGAGTACAAGTAAACTGCATTTCTGCTGTTTCTTTTTAAAGTGAGTCACACCTCAGTAACATCATGATGGATCTGGATCTGTAGTGATCGGCTCTTTATGCCTTCAGTGCCTTTTAACACTGAACGCCTGAACTATGTGTAGATGTGGCCAATGAAAAGATGGACCACTGTTTCAGGAGAAATCCAGAAAAAAAGGATGCATTGATATAGGTTTTTTTTTAATGCTCCCATCAGAAGGCATTCGTTTGGGAAAAGCTGCACCTGTCACAGTTGGAACAGTGAGCAGCAGAGTGAGCCCTTTCTAAATGAGAATTAAAGCATGACAAAAAGGACACTGACTGAGAACAGCATGGCTTCAACTTGAATAAATCTTTGCCCTGTTTTTCAAGCATTCGAGCTTTTTCTTTTTGAATATTTGAGAGGGGTTACCGGCCTTTTCGCTCTCACACACTCATACAAACCACGCTGTTAGTGTTGAATATGCAACAATATTACATGCAACAAGTTGATTTCCAATCCAAGGTCGTCAGCACAAATGAACAAGACAGGCTGACTGTTTGGTGCAGGAATGCAGAAGATTAAATGTTATTTACAGAAGCTTTAGGGTTGTGTAGCTGCAACTATTTTAATCTCAGTCTGTCTGTTAAAACCCCAAACATCATCCTCAGAAGTACGTAAATGCAGTCGCCTCAAGCTACAGTCTTCATATGCTATTGTCACTAAATGCTACAGGCTTGTATTTATTATGAAAAAAAGGGCTCACTTGAATAAAACTTGGTTGCTTAAGCCAAAGAACTTGTTAAGCTGCTGGTTTTACTTCTTTGTTAAGCATCCTAAGAAACACATGCTTTTGTGTTTCATGATCATGACACAGATAAAGCAGCAGCCAAAAAGCAAAAAGTCCACAAACCAGTGCGTAATGTCATGTGGCTACATCTATCGTCTGCATAGAGTGTATGTTGTCAAAAGGATGGTCGACTTAATACAGCAATTCAATTTTATTTTATTTATATAGCACCAAATCACAACAACAGTCGTCTCAAGGCGCTTTATATGGTAAGGCAGATCCTACAAAACTAAATACAGAGAAAAGCCCAACAATCATATGACCCCCTATGAGCAGCACTTTGGCAACAGTGGGAAGGAAAAACTCCCTTTTAACAAGAAGAAACCTCTGGCAGAACCAGGCTCGGGGAGGGGCGGGGCCATCTGCTGTGACATGCTGGGGTGAGAGAATAATCTTAGTAATGAATAATCTTAAAAGTAGAGATAGTGTCTGTCTCCTGAATCCAAACAGGAACCGGTTCCAGAGAAGAGGGGCCTGAAAACGGAAGGCTCTGCCTGTATGGTAAAACCGTACAACAGGTAAAACGACAGACACCATTTACAGCTGCAATCTACTGCAAAGCAACAAGCTTGAAACTTTCCTCAACCGCTTGATGCTCCCTCCCTCTGGGCTGTGTTTGGTTGAGACAATTCTTTACTTGTCAATTTATTGCGCTGGCAGTGTGTATATTTTTATATCTCATAACTCTAGGTTTCTTTGTTTGCTCTCACGACATCAAGAGCTCCTCAATAAAAGAAGGCAGAAGCAGCTGGATGCAGGCACACACACACACACACACACACACAGATGCTGTAAATAACACCAGCATATGTCCCTGACAAATGTGTAATCTGCACACACACTGAGCACGAGGATCAATCTGTAGCCCGCAGCAGCCGTATGTTACACTGATGCGGATTAAGATATTGTATCTGCAGACAAAAGGAGTCAACCGCCTTTGTGCAGAAAACCCATCTTAAGATAAGAGAGATCTCATCTCCTCAGCCTAATTCACAGCCTCCTTCTGCTCTCCTGTATCTCTGCCGCAGATAATGGCAGATAAATAAACCATAGGATATCCACGCATGCTGTCTTTGCCACACTGCAACCCACCGTGGCAAGATGTTACAAACAAGACAAAGCAACTGTAGCTCAGCTAAACATATGCAAGCTGCAGGTTGTCCCTCTGCTCGCATTCCCACAGTGCATTATATCAGCCCAGCTGCCACATGTGACATTATATAGACATTATATGCATTACACCCTCTGCTTTTGTGAGGTGTCACTGTTTCTGGAGATCAGTGCAGATAAATAATGCATGCTGCTCAGACGCGGCATGACTGCTGAATGCGCACTGAAGGCAGTATAGCTCTTTTCTCCCAGCACTTACACCGCAAGCAACACTTAAAGCATCCATTAATATCACACCAACACTTACGCTGCCCCTTGCTTTTTGAGCTCATCTGGGAAATTACTTATCAGAAAAATCAGAGCACATTCTGGACTGGTTGTCTTGTTTGTCTCTCGGGACATCTGCTGAATCCCGAGTGATGCGCTCGATGAATGCCAGCACACTCACAACTTAGGCTGCGCTCCCAGCACCAAGTTCCTAGCATTCTCTGTTGCACCTGAATGTCTGCATTACGTTTCAGCATGCACAAAGGCTACAATCCGTGCTTCAGAGGGGAAGAAGAAGTGAGCTGTCTCACCTGTATGTATACGGAAGGTCTCTTCTGTCCTGGCCGTGTGCAACGCACAGAGCTGAAACTTCTGTCTCATCAGCGCTGCTGGATAAACCTCCCCCCTCACTCTCTCTCTCTCTCTCTCTCTCGCAGTCTGCTCTCCCACCCTCCCGGCTTTCCCTTCTTGCTCTTTTTTCCCTGTAACTCACTGTGTTTTCTCCATCTGCCTTTTTCTCCCTACTTCAGTGCCTTCCCTCGACCTGCTGCTGCTCATGTTTTCTTTGTACATATATATGTATATATTGTACGGTTATATTGCTATTGGAGGCTATAATTTGATAAAGAGCTTTTAGATGAGGTGCAATGCGTACCACTGCAGTGCTGGAGAGATGCACTCGGATATGATGCTCTGTTAACCTAGATCCTAGTCTGTATGTGTGTGTGCGTGTGTATGTGTTCCCACCTGTGTTTTCTGGTGCGTGTGTGTTTGTGTGTACGTTCACAGATAATGGGAGGGGAGGAGTCTCCGTGCCATAACAACCGTTGGGCTTCGCTATTTGGCGACAGCGCTGCCAACTTCCTCCCTCCCGCTTCTTTGTTGGGAGTTATTTTCTCACCTCTGGGAGGATGGTGGGTAAGGCGCGGGGGTAGTGGGATGAAGAGACACACAGAGAATACGTGTAATGCTCTCAAATTGAAATTCATCCTACCCGTCTCCCTTTATAATCTCATTCAAATTCCACAGTCTGTTGCTCACTCATATTTAAATGAGCACTTGACTAAATCCCTCCTGTGCTTTCGCTTTTCTCGGTCAGCCTTTGGCAGACTGCCGCGCTCTGTTGCTCTCCATCTTCCTGGACGCTTCTCGGCAAACTGGCACACTCTTTGTGTTTTGGCCAATACGCGTATATAGAACTAAAAGAGTGGGCAGTGAGGCCACGCAGATCTAATGTCAGGCATTACACATGCAACCCACTTTGAAGGTAAATGAGTGTGACTGGACCAAAGCTCAGGATGACACTAACAGAGCGTTTCTGATATTCTTGTAACTTTTCACACATAACCGCAGAAAAACTAGAAAGACTGTGGTGTTAGCAAACAACTGAATAAATAAGCTCCAGTTTGTTTGTGCTTTTCAAGAACTGGTGTCAGCTCACCATATTGTTGTCTTCATTGAGTCTTTGGGGTTTTTTGAGGTCTAGAACTGTTTGAAAAGGCCTTCTTTTTCATCTTGTCTGACTGTTTGAAACATTAGAGAGGCTTGTGTTACTGAGACAGCCTCTAATGTCTCCAACCACGCTTCTAAAACCATAACCAATTAATACTGTAACTATGATGTCTATGGCTGCCCACTGCTTCCAAGCTCAGGATCCTTGATTGGACTCAGAGAACATGAGCTGTGCTTGTGGTCTGACAGAAGCTAAAATTAGAAGAAGGGTAACAGCCTTTTGCCTTCAAGGCAGCCGATCTTGTGAGTAAGCTTAGAGCAGACCTTCCCAAAGTGTGGGGCCCGCGCCATTGCAGGGGGTATGAAAAAGGAAATGAAAAAAGGCTTGGACACTGCTAGCACGGGGCGCCTACACAAACGCAGAGCAGGAGATGAAGCATCGCTGAATATGTTTCCAAACCAACTTCATTCTAAGCCAAAGACTAGAAAATATGGTGAAGCATATCTTCCCTTTGGCTTCACCTGCACAAATGCCAAGGTAGGTCTCCCCTGCATAATTGGTTTTCCCTTAGTCGGGAGCACATGCTGGGCTGTTCAAATCACGGACAAACAGTATCCCACATTCTTGATTTTTAGTTCACAAACACTTCTCATAATGACTAACTACTCCTGACATTTTGGAGATATTAGCTCTTTATACAGTAAAGTTACAGCGGGATACAAATAACATCAGGCTGATCCTGCCACGATTTGTTCCCTTGGTTCAAATCACGGACAAACAGTATCCCAAAACAGTATTTTGTGTCTATCTGCCATTCTGCAATTCATCTCATGTAAACAATAACGTGGCGCACAGCTGACGTGAAAAAAGGCACTTACCTTTGACGTTGAGTGTCGAACTCTGTATTCCTCGTCCACACGGAAACGCAAAAAAGGAGTTTTTAAAAAATCTCAGTTTTCGGTGATTCGAAATGCCGTTTATGTGTGGACGAAACAGCTGCGTTTTCAAAATCACCCGTGTAGGTGTGGACATAGCGTAACAGAGTTAGTAGTTTATTTTATTACTACCTGTAATTTATTGCAGATTACTTGTATTTGCTTAATTGTTTACTAAATGTTTGAGGTGTGAAATAAACCGCAATGGAGCAAAATAGGTGTGTGTGGTTGGAGGATGTGTTTGTGTGCGGGGGGGCGCGAACATTATTCTTGTAAAACAAAGGGGGCCTAGCAAAAAAAGTTTGGGAACCACTGGCTTAGAGTGACATTGTGACAAGCTAGTTGCTTTAGTGTGAAGTAACGAAACAAGCCCATGGGCCCAATCACAATGGAGGACAATGTGATTCAATCCCGAAGACCCCAGTGGAGGCTGTGTGGGATCCAAAAGGTCATCTCTCTTTGTCCCTTATCTTTGCAAGGTAGGGGCTGTTAGTGCATTTTTCCAGAATGATCATTCACTTTCCATCTTTGACTCAAGATCCAATCATCCATGGGAGTCTTGCTTTTGCGACCAACCTTGTTATGGAAATCTGAAATAAACTGAGGTGCATTTCTTTATGCATTTTATTTACCTTTGTAAAGTGGTCAAACAACAGTACAGACAGCATCGTAGCAGTCTGCATGTTTTTTGAAAGAAAAACAAAGTAGACAAAGTAAGACTATATGGAGCTTTTCTTTCAGTAAGATCAGCTTGACACAAAGAAATAGCAACCTTATAAATTTCCATCACTATGGTGCAGTGTTGGGTAAGTTACTTTAAAAAAGTAATTAATTACTAATTACTAATTACTTAGTCAATAAGTAAGAGCTGACTGCCTCACAGCGTAACACCAGTCAGCCCCCCAAGCGCGGTTCAGGAGATGTATACACCACCCCTGAGACAATGCCACAAGAGGAGGATGAGGAGGTGTTCAGGCCACTACCATGGCCTGAACTGGTGGAAGAGTTGCACACAGGATTCTACCAAATGAAGGCTGACGAACAATACTCCGATGATGGTGTACAGTACCACCCTATACCCCGCACAGCATATTTCGCTGGTGAGCCTGCACTGCCAAGTCATCGTTGTACCCCATATCAGGACCCTATGGTTAAGGATGGAAACACGTTTCATGCCCCTCCACAACACTCTGTGCCACCCCCTGCTGGGCACCAAGTAAGACAGGTTTGCTCCCAACCAAGCCTGTTCCAGCCAGTTCCCCATCTCTTGTCACTGGAGTAACTAGTGGGCACTGCAATAACCCATCTGCTCCTCTTTCGGCTGAGCTAGTGTACAAGGGGCCCAAACCAACCATTCCAAGGTTCATTCATTCTGATCCCTCTGAGTTTGCTAGGCTCCGCATGGCTTTAGAGAACCTACTCCCTCCTAATGCTACTGAGCTCTTCAAGTATCAGATACTTGTGGACCACCTCAAATTAGATGAAGCTCGACTTATCGCCGATGCTTACCTGAACTCACCCAAGCCTTATACTGACACCATGGCAGCCCTCCACGACAAATTTGGACAACCTCATCAGCTCGCCTTGAGAAAGATAGCAAGTGTCCTGGATGGTCCTGAAATAAGGCGAGGTGCCACAGTAGCCTTCCAAAGGTTCTCCCTTCAGGTGCAGTCACTAGTTGGGCTGTTACAAACATTAGGACTGGAAGGAGAAGTGGAGTTGAACTGTGGGTCCCACGTTGCCTGACTAATAAGTAAGCTCCCCGCAGAACAGAGAGCTGATTTTCGCAGACACCAGTTCAAGCAGCCCGGGAGCACCTACACTTTGTACGACCTATCTGCATGGCTTCATCAGGAGTCCTGGTGTCAAGGATTTGACGGCCAAGCAGGCGTAAGAAGCAGTAGAGAAAGGACCAGTGTAAAGGCTGAGGCCCGTCCAGGCCGACAAACCGTGACAGTCCTACATAACCTAAAGGGGCCATCAGAACACACCTTTCCACCAGTGAAGGAGAGTCGAGCTAGAGGGAAGGTTAAGAACAAAGCCTACTGTGCCTACTGTGAGAGCACAGAACACTATTTCAGCCAATGTGATGATGTAGCCAAGCTCTCCAAAGAGGAAATAAAGGACTGGATACAGGTCAACAAACGATGCTGGCGCTGTGCCCGAACTCATTTAGCTGCTCAGTGCACACTAAAGAAACCCTGCAGCCGCTGCCAGGGTAAACATCTGCTGGCTCTTCACGAGGTAAATGCCAGGACAGAAGGAAACAACGCTGGCATGGCTGCAAAGGAGGAAAGCTGCCTAACCAGTTCGGCTTCGGGCTCACTCTACCTTGATCGCCATGGGGCCAGCAATCGTGTCATGCTGAAGATTGTACCTGTGCTTTTGAGCCATGGAGAGCGGACTCTAGACACCTATGCTATACTTGATGACGGTTCAGAGAGGACCATGCTGCTCCCTGCTGCTGCAAAGACTCTTGGTCTGGCAGGCATCCCGGAGGACCTGCCATTACGAACCGTCCGCCAAGATATTCAGATGCTTCATGGACATACCGTATCCTTCAGCGTCTCTGCTGCTACCAACCCTGGATCCTACTACAAGATTGATGGAGCGTTTACAGCTGATCGTCTCAACTTAGCTCACCATACCTATCCTATCAACCAGCTGAGAAGGAAGTACAAATACCTGCATGGGATCCCGGTCCCTGCCCTGAAGGAAGCCAAGCCTCTGCTTCTCATTGGTTCAGACCAGCCACACCTGATCACCCCCATAGAACCAGTCCGCCTCGGCCCACCTGGAGGCCCAGCAGCAGTCCACACCCGGCTTGGCTGGACCCTTCAAGGGCCAAGTCTTTTCATGGGGCGGCAGACCCAGCCTGTCCTATCCCTGTATACATCCGCCCAATCCGACGAGTTGCTCAAACATGTGGAGCGGCTCTGGCAGGTGGACGTGGTGCCTTACCGATCCGAGAAAGAGGTCACTCGGTCGAAACAGGATCAGCAGGCTGTGGCCCTGCTCGAGGCAAG